ATTGGCCAAATTAACAATTTCCGATCACTTTATTTTGTATTGAAACAGTTGACTTTGGCGATTTCTTGTGCTCAACGATAGAATAGAAGTAATACTAGTGAAATAGCTAAGAATTTGGTTGATTGGAATAATGTAATTGGCCTAAAATAGGAGTCAAAGTCGGCAAAATCGCCGATTCGTAAATATCATTGACACATCAAAATTCGCGAGAGCATAATTTCGTCAATTTTCCACCAAATTTCGTACTTTTTGTTTTATTACCTTCACAAAAAGATTCTCTACGATTTCATAAGAAAAAATAAATTTTTTTTTTGAAAATTCTTGGACACTGGTGCGTGACTCCAGATTTGGGCCTTGGACCCTGAAAGGGTTAAGAGGAGGGGCCAGGAGCTGAGTCTCAACCCCTGCAACCACAATTAGGTGAGTACATATATGCAGCCTCTCCTCACTTAACGATGGAGTTCTGTTCCTAAGACCTTGTCGGTAAACGAATTCATCGGTAAGTGAGGAGCATACTATGTATAATGATAATTGGTCTGTGTCAACCCTCTTTGACATTGTTTTAACCCCTTCAGGGTCCAAGGCCAAAATCTGAAGTGGTGCTCCAGTGTCCAAGAAATTTTGAAAAAAAAAAAAAAAATATTTTTTTTCTTACAGAATTAAAGAGCATATTTTTGTGAAGGTAATAAGACAAAAACAAAATTCTGATCAGTACTTACCGAGATACAGTGCCAAGAAGTTTGTCAAAAATGATGTGGTGGCGGCAACATCGACGAATTCCACATACGCGCATTACATTATTTTGCGTTTTTTTTTTTTTTTTTTTTTTTTTTCTATTCCTACTAACATTTGGGGCCTGAGAGACCAATACTGTATATAATGTATATATATAAACTCACTATATTGAACACAATAACTGCACTAAAGTTATTATCATATTATTGTTTACCACTGTTGTTTATTACAATAAACATGCACAAATCTTGTATAATACTAATGTTCTATCATATATTTACATATTTACAATCACTGGACATGGTTTTAGAACTGCTGGAACTTGTGGAACTCCTTGAAACAAGGCACCATGCACAGAGGCACCTTACATTCCTCACACATAAACCGAGTGTCTTTGTGTCTTTGTTGCCGTCGTTTTGTTTGTTCACAGACGATGCATCTCTTCTGAGCAAATTTCTTCTGAGTTGAAGGAAGTTGTATTATGAAATGATCACCTTCCCTCCTCAAACGCTTGGGTATATCCTGAGGAATTCGAGGACCGTGTTGTATAGCAGGTGTTCTTACCTGGTACTTCATTATGAGTTGTCTGACAACAGACAAACAAAATTCACCATACGGTGGTCTGTTGCCAGTCTTTATTTGGTACATATTATATGCATTGAGCATTGAAATGTCCATGAGATGAAAGAAAAGTTTCATGTACCACTTGTAACTCTTACGAACACAGTCAACAAAACCAATCTGCATGTCACATTTGTCAACCAAGCGCATGTTTTGTGTATAATCAATCACTGTCACTGGTTTTCGAATACATTCATTAGTCACTCGATCAACTTTGCCACTGTCTTGCATTTCATTACGGTGAATGGTTGTCAACAATGTGACATCTCGTTTGTCATGCCACCGTAATGCCATGATGTCACTGGCAGTAAACACCTGCACGTCATCACCACGAGCACCTGCGTTGAGCCTGGGCATATGTTTACGATTAGAATGCACTGTGCCACACACATCTGTCTTGTTCACTCGCATGAAATCACTGAGTAATGGGCTTGTGTACCAGTTATCGGTATATAATGTATGCCCCTTACCAAGATAAGATGCCATCATGTTTCTCACTACGTCACCTGAGATACCCAATAACATCTTGGTATCTTTCAATGTTTTACTGCCCGTGTATACAACAATATCCAACACCAGGCCACTGTCACAATCACAGAGTACAAACAGTTTTATACCAAAGCGTTTCCTCTTGCTCGGTATATACTGCTTGAATGACAGTCTACCTTTGAACAAAATCAAAGACTCGTCAATTACAAGATTCTTGAATGGATAAAAGTATATGCTGAACTTTTGTTTGAGATACATGAAAACATTTCTAATCTTGTATAACCTGTCACTTCTGTCAGGCCTGGTTTTGTCAGAGAAGTGCAACATACGTAAGAGTAAGATAAACCTGTTCACTGGTATGATTTCACTGAAGACCGGGGTAGAAATTAGCCGATCTGTGGACCAGTATGCTTTTATATTATGCTTATAGACGTGAGGCATAAGCATTATTGTTGCAAAAAGCAAATACATTTCTGCAACAGTCATCTCTTTCCACCTGTGTAGTCTTGACTGTGGTGATAAGATCATGTTTGCCATGGTGTACTCAAAATACTTATTAGTTTCCCTGACAATAATTTCCATTAATGTCTGGTCAAAGAATAATTCAAAGAATTCCAGTTCATTGGCCGTGGTTCCAAGGGGACAAGTAGGTAGAATTCCACTTTGAGAGTCATCAAAGTGGTGAGGCTTGGGAACAAAATTGGGATTTTGCTGCCAATCCCACATACGGTTTGCTGGTGGATACTGGACATCATAGGCTGGTTGTGCGGGTGGTTGTGGTTGTGGTGGGCTGGTGGCTGGCGCTACACTTTGTCCTTGAACTGACGAGTCAGCAGCGTGGGTCCCAGCATGGCCTGGTGAGTCATGCATAGCGGTGCCACTACCATCACCACTAACACCATCCACTGATGCCTGTGGTCTATCCATGCCAAGTGTTTACCTGGAGAGAGTTCCGGGGGTCAACGCCCCCGCGGCCCGGTCTGTGACCAGGCCTCCTGGTGGATCAGAGCCTGATCAACCAGGCTGTTGCTGCTGGCTGCACGCAAACCAACGTACGAGCCACAGCCCGGCTGATCAGGAACTGACTTTAGGTGCTTGTCCAGTGCCAGCTTGAAGACTGCCAGGGTTCTGTTGGTAATCCCCCTTATGTGTGCTGGGAGGCAGTTGAACAGTCTCGGGCCCCTGACACATCATCCTCACTATCACTACCTAAAACTGGTGTTGGGCCACGGGATGTACTCCGGGATGTACTCCGTACCCTGGGCACAGCGTAGGGTACACTACCCGAGTGCATGCGGCGGCGAACATACCGACGCTTCACTGGTGAATGATTCCTCACTATCACTACTCGAATGATCGTCGAGCGCAATAAAATCACAGTCCACGTCACTATCATCATCATTACTGAAGTCAGAGGCCTGGCCACGTGAAAATATTAGTTTTCTCTTGCGATGAGGAACAACCGACCGTGAGTCACGAGTGCCCACACCAGAGGTAGAAGGTTGAGGATCGTCAGGGTTTTCTGCACTATTATCGATATCCTGGTCATTCTTTCGTCACTAACTGATCAAAGCCGTAGAATTCGTCTTCATTCCACTTCCATCAGTGTCAGAACTATCAGATAGGAAGAGGAGAGTCCCAATTTTCTGGGGAGTGAGAGCTGACTTGCGACGAGGCATGGTGAACAAGGGTAACTGAGCCGGCGTTCCCACATTGCTGTGTGGGCGCCTAGATTTTTTGTTTATGGCGCACACCCACCACGCAGACCCGTTCTCTCACATGTAGGCCTATGAGCGTTTTCGCGCTAAATTTGACGGCACTAGAATTTTGGCGTAGATCTACGGTTTGGACACTCAACGTGAAGCCGTAGATCTACGGGATGGACCCTGAAAGGGTTAATGTCACCTTTGCACCATTTATAGCATTTCTAGTATATTTTTAAATGTTTATACAGTAGTGTACTGTATATTGTAATAAACAGAATAGAGGAAATCAGCTCTAACATACATTATTTAGCAATGAATACTGGTCAAAGAACCCATTGTAAGTCTGAGTCGTTGTTAAACGAGTACGTCGCTAAGTGAGTTGAGGTTGTATTATACAGGAGAGCCCCACATATACAGCACCCTCTTTTTAGTGTTCCACATTTTCATTGGCTTTCAATTGAGCAATTGTTCATTATGTTTGGTACTTTTACCACTTTTTCACCATTATCACCATTTTGTACAACAATTGCATAAGGGAAAGATGACCGACTCCATCATTTAAGGTAAATATTGTATTGTATGCACTGTATTGTATGTCAGGTGGACCAGTTTTGAAAATCATTCCCACCTGACCATCTCCAATTTCGATAAAATTTTACATGAGGGTTAGAATGTATGTGAGACTAACTTTGGGAAAGTTTTAGTTCATGATATGCAATAATAGTAATGCTATGGCCCTCAGAGTGGAGGCCTGAGAAAATTTCACCGACCAATGGCACACAATCAACAGTGTTCAGGTTATTGCTGTGGCAGATCTTGAAGAGTAAAAGTTGTGTAAGTAGACATACCTATACAACTAAAACTTACATACTTTTACTTTTTTCACAGTATCCAGTCAAATTAGGCATAAAAAATATGTTGCATAAAATTGAATCTTGAATTCAGCTGCCTATATCTGTAAAGGAAAACAATATTATTTTAGTATGACATTCTTGTAGCCAGCTACCCAAGTGGACATCATCATAATCCTAAAATATCAGACTTCAAATGTTTTTAGTTCTTGTGTTACAGGTACCTAAAAATGCCCTCACAGACCTCACAGTGAATTTTAGGCCATTTTTGAAGACCAATAACAAAAAAGCAGCACAACTTATTTTCTTAAAAAACCTTTATTAGAAAGAGCAGATTCTAAACTTCAAGATATCTATTTTCTGGATAGGTGTTTTGCTCTTGATGGAAGAAAACAGGCCTTAAAATAAGGTGATTTTTGGCTTGTGCAAAGTTATAATGAAAACCAGGCATTTTTCAGTTGCTGTTGTGTATAGATGTCCTTGTACAATTTTTGGTGGCGATATCAGAAATTTTAGATGCTTTCGATAATGATTATGTGAAAAGAGAAGCAGTGAATGAGCTTTTCACGTTTGTCAACTGCATCTTTTTTTATTTCAGTGGTATGGGCTCGAGTGCAAGGAGCACTGTGGTGGCCAGCAATGGTTGATATTGATCCTGACTACAAAAAATATATGTGGCTCAATGACATTGCTACATCACCAGTAAGATGCGAAACAGATAAATAAGACATGCAGTAGTTAGGTATCTTCATTTGAAAATATTTCCCCTACACAGTAGTCTTCATCAGTTGACAACAGAGGTGACTAAATATGAAGAACCAGCAGTGGAAAGGGAAAGATGACATGATCAGTGCATCAACCTCAAAAAATTAGTTTGAAGAAGTGGTTTCAAGGTTGATGGACTGATCACATCATCTTTCCTTCTACACTGTTAATTCTCCATATTTATTTCTGTGTCAGAATAAAAATACATAACTGTTGCACATGTCTCATTTATCTACTTTTCAGTATTGTATCTCATTATTATATCAATATGATGCATAATATAAAGCTATTTGATATTTGGTACTGAAGCTAGAATATTCCATCCTTTCATAAACCATAAACATTTCATTCTTATGTATAATACTCTATAGCCTTTATAATATGAATACCAAAAATAGGAAGCATTAGGAAGAAAACATATTATGAATTATGTAGCGAATAAAGTAGTTAATAGAATTTTTTTTTTTAACACATTGGCCGTTTACCACCAAGGCAGGGTGACCCAGAAAGAAAGAAAAACCCTAAAGAAAGAAAAATACTTTCATCATCATTCAACACTTTCACCATCACTCATACATAATTAGGTGAGTACTGTCTTTGAAGAGGCATTCAGATATGACAGTTTAGAAGTCCCTCCAAACTGCCAATATCCCAAACCCCTCCTTTAAAGTGCAGGCATTGTACTTCCCATTTCCAGGACTCAAGTCCGACTAACCAGTTTTCCTGAATCCCTTCACAAAATATTACCCTGCTCACACTCCAACAGCTCGTCAGGTCCCAAAAACCATTTGTCTCTATTCACTCCTATCTAACATGCTTACGAATGCTTGCTGGAAGTCCAAGCCCCTCGCCCACAAAACATCATTTACCCCTTCCCTCCAATCTATTCGAGGATGACCCCTACCCTGCCTTGATTTCCCTACAGATTTATACACTCTCCAAGTCATTCTACTTTGTTCCATTCTTTCTAAATGACCAGACCACCTCAACAACTCCTCTTCAGTGCTCTGACTAATACTTTTAGTAACTCCACACACACCTCCTAATTTCCACGCTCCAAATTCTCTGCATAATATTCACACCACACCAGATATAAGCGACTATTGGCAGAAAGGTGGGCTAGTGCAAAGATGAGTAGTGGGGGGGTTGAAGAGGGTTGGAATAGTTTTAAAAATGCAGTTTAGAATGTGGGGCAGAAGTTTGTGGTTATAGGAGGGTGAGGGCAGGAGGAAAGAGGAGTGATTGGTGGAATGATGAAGTAAAGAGTGTGATAAAAGAGAAAAAGGTAGCTTATGAGAGTTTTTTACAAAGCAGAAGTGTTATAAGAAGAGCAGAGTATGTGGAGAGTAAAAGAAAGGTAAAGAGAGTGGTGAGAGAGTGCAAAAGGAGAGCAGATGATAGAGTGGGAGAGGCACTGTCAAGAAATTTTAATGAAAATAAGAAAAAATTTTGGAGTGAGTTAAACAAGTTAAGAAAGCCTAGGGAAAGTATGAATTTGTCAGTTAAAAACAGAGTAGGGGAGTTAGTAGATGGGGAGATGGAGGTATTAGGTAGATGGCAAGAATATTTTGAGGAACTTTTAAATGTTAAGGAAGAAAGAGAGGCAATAATTTCATGCACTGGTCAGGGAGGTATACCATCTTTTAGGAGTGAAGAAGAGCAGAATGTAAGTGTGGGGGAGGTACGTGAGGCATTACGTAGAATGAAAGGGGGTAAAGCAGCTGGAACTGATGGGATCATGACAGAAATGTTAAAAGCAGGGGGGATATAGTGTTGGAGTGGTTGGTACTTTTGTTTAATAAATGTATGAAAGAGGGGAAGGTACCTAGGGATTGGCGGAGAGCATGTATAGTCCCTTTATATAAAGGGAAAGGGGACAAAAGAGATTGTAAAAATTATAGAGGAATAAGTTTACTGAGTATACCAGGAAAAGTATACGGTAGGGTTATAACTGAAAGAATTAGAGGTAAGACAGAATGTAGGATTGCGGATGAGCAAGGAGGTTTCAGAGTGGGTAGGGGATGTGTAGATCCAGTGTTTACATTGAAGCATATATGTGAACAGTATTTAGATAAAGGTAGGGAAGTTTTTATTGCATTTATGGATTTAGAAAAGGCATATGATAGAGTGGATAGAGGAGCAATGTGGCAGATGTTGCAGGTATATGGAATAGGTGGTAAGTTATTAAATGCTGTAAAGAGTTTTTATGAGGATAGTGAGGCTCAGGTTAGGGTGTGTAGAAGAGAGGGAGACTACTTCCCAGTAAAAGTAGGTCTTAGACAGGGGTGTGTAATGTCACCATGGTTGTTTAATATATTTATAGATGGGGTTGTAAAGGAAGTAAATGCTAGGGTGTTCGGGAGAGGGGTGGGATTAAATTTTGGGGAATCAAATTCAAAATGGGAATTGACACAGTTACTTTTTGCTGATGATACTGTGCTTATGGGAGATTCTAAAGAAAAATTGCAAAGGTTAGTGGATGAGTTTGGGAATGTGTGTAAAGGTAGAAAGTTGAAAGTGAACATAGAAAAGAGTAAGGTGATGAGGGTATCAAATGATTTAGATAAAGAAAAATTGGATATCAAATTGGGGAGGAGGAGTATGGAAGAAGTGAATGTTTTCAGATACTTGGGAGTTAACGTGTCGGCGGATGGATTTATGAAGGATGAAGTTAATCATAGAATTGATGAGGGGAAAAAGGTGAATGGTGCGTTGAGGTATATCCGGAGTCAAAAAACGTTGTCTATGGAGGCAAAGAAGGGAATGTATGAAAGTATAGTAGTACCAGCACTCTTATATGGTTGTGGAGCTTGGGTGGTAAATGCAGCAGCGAGGGGACGGTTGGAGGCAGTGGAGATGTCCTGCTTAAGGGCAATGTGTGGTGTAAATATTATGCAGAAAATTCGGAGTGTGGAAATTAGGAAAAGGTGTGGAGTAAATAAAAGTATTAGTCAGAGGGCAGAAGAGGGGTTGTTGAGGTGGTTTGGTCATTTAGAGAGAAAAGATCAAAGTAGAATGACATGGAAAGCATATAATCTATAGGGAAAGGAAGGAGGGGTAGGGGTCGTCCTCGAAAGGGTTGGAGATAGGGGGTAAAGGAGGTTTTGTGGGCAAGGGGCTTGGACTTCCAGCAAGCGTGCGTGAGCGTGTTAGATAGGAGTGAATGGAGACGAATGGTACTTGGGACCTGACGATCTGTTGGAGTGTGAGCAGGGTAATATTTAGTGAAGGGATTCAGGGAAACCGGTTATTTTCATATAGTCGGACTTAGAGTCCTGGAAATGGGAAGTACGTACAATGCCTGCACTTTAAAGGAGGGGTTTGGGATATTGGCAGTTTGGAGGGATATGTTGTGTATCTTTATATGTGTTTGCTTCTAAACTGTTGTATTCTGAGAACCTCTGCAAAAACAGTGATAATGTGTGAGTGTGGTGAAAGTGTTGAATGATGACGAAAGTATTTTCTTTTTGGGGATTTTCCTTCTTTTTTGGGTCACCCTGCCTCGGTGGGAGACGGCCGACTTGTTGAAAAAAAAAAAAAAAAAAAACATTACCCTTAGGATAAAAGAGAGTGCAAAAATTATAGGGGAATAAGTCTGTTGAGTATATCTGGTAAAGTGTATGGTAGAGTTATTATTTAAAAAATTAAGAGTAACACAGAGAGTAGGATAGCAAATGAACAAGAAGGCTTAAGGAAAGGTAGGAGGTGTGTAGACCACACCCCTTACCTGTTTACAGTTTACCTGGAGTTTACCTGGAGAGAGTTCCGGGGGCCAACGCCCCTGCGGCCCGGTCTATGACCAGGCCTCCTGGTGGATCAGAGCCTGATCAACCAGGCTGTTGCTGCTGGCTGCATGCAAACCAACGTACGAGCCACAGCCTGGCTGGTCAGGAACCGACTTTAGGTGCTTGTCCAGTGCCAGCTTGAAGACTGCCAGGGGTCTGTTGGTAATCCCCCTTATGTATGCTGGGAGGCAGTTGAACAGTCTCGGGCCCCTGACACTTATTGTATGGTCTCTTAACGTGCTAGTGACACCCCTGCTTTTCATTGGGGGGATGTTGCATCGTCTGCCAAGTCGTTTGAAACATATAGGTGAACAGTATTTAGATAAGGGTAAAGAGGGCTTTGTGGCATTTATGGATTTAGGAAAGGCATATGACAAGGTGAATAGGGGGGCAATGTGGCAGATGTTGCAGGTGTATGGTATAGGAGGTAGGTTACTGAAAGCAGTGAAGAGTTTTTACGAGGTTAGTGAGGCTCAGGTTAGAGTATGTAGGAGAGAGGGAGATTATTTCACAGTAAAAGTAGGCCTTAGACAAGGATGTGTGATGTCACCCTCGTTGTTCAATATATTTATAGATGGGGTTGTAAGAGAAGTGAATGCTAGGGTCTTGGCAAGAGGTGTGGAGTTAAAAGATAAAGAATCAAACACAAAGTGGGAGTTGTCACAGTTGCTCTTTGCTGATAAGATAAGATAAGATAAGATAAGATTTCGTTCGGATTTTTAACCCCGGAGGGTTAGCCACCCAGGATAACCCAAGAAAGTCAGTGCGTCATCGAGGACTGTCTAACTTATTTCCATTGGGTCCTTAATCTTGTCCCCCAGGATGCGACCCACACCAGTCGACTAACACCCAGGTACCTATTTACTGCTAGGTGAACAGGACAGCAGGTGTAAGGAAACGTGTCGAATGTTTCCACCCGCCGGGAATCGAACCCGGGCCCTCCGTGTGTGAAGCGGGAGCTTTAGCCACCAGGCAACTGTAGATAATAATGTAGACCCAAGACCTTAACGTAAGTAGTAAATAGGCCGATAATGTAGGCAAACACTAGGTTATGTTAGCCAGGGAGAACTGGCAGCCAAAGTTTCAATACTGGGGCACGGAGGTTTAAGACCACCGTGCTTTCTTCTAAGACTAGACACCATCGGAACAGCAAGTGCCGTGATCAGCAGGCAGCGCCCCCATGTGTCTTCACATACTAGACCTGGGGAAATCTGGTGGAGGCACTTCGACGTACCGTAGATGTCCTCCTCCATCAGGCCCATACAGTAAGATGAGACCTCCCTTTTTTCTACTCGATCCTGGCCAGTGTCTGGGAAAATTGTTGGTGAGTTGAGGTGTGGGCCCTTTGTGCAGCCGGCAGTTCATGACCAGTACGTACTGGTGTCTCTTGTCAGCCTAGAAGCTTGTGTCCATTTCTGCATAGTTATGCTAGGGGATACACAGCCCCTTGGAAACAGGAATTTCTGAGGTGCAGGCAGGTCACTAATGTCGACTGAATATTGTAGGAATTAAGGCTCTCGGTTGCACGTGGTTCTGAGGGGAAGTCTACAGGGACTAAAGCTTAGGGAGGTTGAAGACCGAGACACATTCACCAACATCAAGTAAGTTAGTCCTTTATACATGCATGCAGGCGAGATTTCTTGCAACATCAGTCATTTATGAAAATCTGTCCTATAAGCCACTTGTGAGGCTGAGGTTCCGTCCTCAGGGCTCAGTGTCAACAGAGCTTGCCAGGGTAGACAACTCACATGGAGGCAGTCCAGACAAATTTTCACAACATCAATGTGTGTTGGGTCCCATAGTCCCATAACAGTTATCAGCTCGGTGACATTTGATAAATGGGTGCTCGGGGGGAACCCTGGCTTTATTTGTTTTTACTGATACACCTAAACATGTTTCTGTCTGTCTGTTTGTCTGTTTGTCTATCTATCTATCTATCTGTCTGTCTATCTTTTCCTGGAATTTTTGGATTATCGTAGGTAATTTGCACCATATATAATAACTGTGGTGAAAGAGTTGAATGATGATGAAAGTATTTTCTTTTTGGGTCACCCTGCCTCGGTGGGAGACTGCCGACTTGTTTTAAAAAAAAAAATAATAACTGTATTTATGTGTACATGTGAGACGAGATATAGATAGACAGATATATAGATATGCAGAGATATAGATAGACAGAGATATAAACAGACAGATATAGACAGATAGAGATATACACAGAGAGACAGCCAAAGCTAGCCAGCTGGCCAGCCTGCTGAATACATAAGAACATAAGAAAGAAGGAACAGCCTGCAGCAGGCCTACTGGCCCATGCAAGGGAGGTACATGTCAACCCCCCCCCCCCCAGCTTAGACCAATGACCCACCTAGTCAGGTCACATCCATTGAAGGAAGGAGCATGACATCAGATCTAGTAGCACAAGCTAGTCAGGTCCAACTCACACCCACCCACACTCACTCATGTATTTATCTAACCTATTTTTACTTTCCTCTTAAAATGGGAGTGTTAATGCGACATGGCATCAGTGAATCCTCAGTGTTTGCCACGCTGTTTGCTCTAGCTGGCGCTCGGTTGAACTGGTGCTCCCAGATTTTTTTAATAGTGCACACACAGAGTGCACAGACCCATTCTTTCATGTCTAGGTGACTCAAGCCTGTTGTGCCAAATTTGAAGGAATGAAAAATAAAACGTTGATCTACATTTGGAGCGCTACGCGTGCAAACGTAGATCTACGTTTGGACAGTTTAAGGGTTAAACAATCTCAGACATAGAGTACCACCCCACCCCCCTTACCGATACTTCTGTCTGCTTGAAACAGTTTTAAACCCTGAATGTGACATTCAGCAGGCATGTCTGATTTTTCACATTAAACCATGTCTCAGTTATAGCAAAAACATCAATGTTACCTGCACCTTTAGCTAATCCCAATTTGTCCATCTTATTTTTCGCACTACGTGTATTGGTATAAAATATGTTTAGAAAATCTCCCTTCCCTTTTCTCTTCCTACTGATTTCTGTTCCTCCACTATACTTGTTACTGCCCTTGTCACCTAGTGCCACTGCTGACAAATCTGCTCCCAAATATCTGAACACATTCACCTCTTCCATACTCCCTCCCCCCAATATGATACCCAATATGTATTTCTTCACCTAACTCATTTGATACCCTCATCACCTTACTTAAATCTACGCTCGCTTTCAACTTTCTTTACACACCCTCCCAAACTCGTACACTAACCTTTGCAACTTCTCTTTAGAATCACTCAAAAGCACAGTATCATCAGAAAAAAGTAACTGTGGCAACTCCCATTTTGTATTTGATTCCCCATAATTTAATCCCACCTCCTCTCCCCGTCACCCAAGCATTTACTTCTTTTACAACCCCATCTATAAATATATTAAACAACCATGGTGGCATTACATGCCCCTGTCTGAGGCCTACTTTTACTGGAAAGTAATCTCCTCTCCTAACCTGATCCTCACTATCCTTATAAACACGCTTTACAGCATTTAGTAACTTACTACCTATTCTATACACTTGCAACATCTGTCACATTTCTTCCCTATCCACCCTATCATATGCCTTTTCTAAATCCATATACAATTTTGTACATTAAAAGGCTCATTCTTGGTTGCTAATACAGTATAACCTTATAAGCCATTGACTTGTTTAGCACTATTAAAATACAACACAGCAGAAATTAATAATCACATTTTTTTCTTCTCCAGATTTCCTACCATGTGACATTCTTTGGGGAGCCTGTGACTCGCGCCTGGGTTACCCCTATGAATATGAAACCATTTGAAAAGAGTGATACCTATGAACGTTTTCTTATGTGTGAATCAAAGGTCAGTTCTTACTTTCATTGTTGTTCATAGTACAGTGGAACCTCTACTTACGAGTGATCCAATGTGTGAGTTTATCGAGATACGAACAGTCGCTCGGTCGATTTTTTGCTTCCAGGTGCGAGCGGGCCTCAAGGGAGGTTCCTTGACGCTGGTGAGGTGCTCTTGATCTAGGGAATTGGATCTCAGTTGTTTGTTGGACTATCTTATTGAAACTTGGGCAATATATGATGGAAAGATGCTTCTTAACTTACACCAAAATTGAAAGAAATTGGACCAAAATAATGGAGTTCACTTCTCAACCATTAGCCGCCCCTTAGCGGTATATTTTTGTTTGGTTTTTATGGTTGTATTCTCGTTTTTTTTTTTTGTCTCATTTGATATAATGGAAGATATATTACAGAAATAGATATGATTTTGATTGCTTTCACAATGAAAAGTACCTTGAAATTGAGCTTAAATGTTTGATTCTTTGGCGATGTTCAAAAGTAAACAAATGATGTCACTGCTCAATATGTGTCCACCTGGCCAGTCTCATACGCAGTCACGAATGGGTTGATATTTTTTATACAATTATTACAATAATGCAGTAGTCTGCATAACAGTAACTTCTATTTTTTGTGTGAATAAAATTCCAAATGATAAGCAAGAGTATTATTATAAAAATACATAGGTATGGAAGAAGTGAATGTTTTCAGATACTTGGGAGTTGACGTGTCGGCAGATGGGTTTATGAAGGATGAGGTTAATCATAGAATTGATGAGGGAAAAAAGGTGAGTGGTGCGTTGAGGTATATGTGGAGTCAAAAAACGTTATCTATGGAGGCAAAGAAGGGAATGTATGAAAGTATAGTAGTACCAACACTCTTATATGGATGTGAAGCTTGGGTGGTAAATGCAGCAGCGAGGAGACGGTTAGAGACAGTAGAGATGTCCTGTCTAAGGGCAATGTGTGGTGTAAATATTATGCAGAAAATTCGGAGTGTGGAAAATTAGGAGAAGGTGTGGAGTTAATAAAGCATTAGTCAGAGGGCAGAAGAGGGGTTGTTGAGGTGGTTTGTGTCATTTAGAGAGAATGGATCAAAGTAGAATGACATGGAAAGCATATAAATCTATAGGGGAAGGAAGGAGGGGTAGGGGTCGTCCTCGAAAGGGTTGGAAAGGGGGTATAGGAGGTTTTGTGGGCAAGGGGCTTGGACTTCCAGCAAGCGATGCATGAGCGTGTTAGATAGGAGTGAATGGAGACGAATGATGCTTGGGACCGACTATCTGTTTGAGTGTGAGCAGGGTAATATTTAGTGAAGGGATTCAGGGAACGGTTATTTTCATATAGTCAGACTTGAGTCCTGGAAATGGGAAGTACAATGCCTGCACTTTAAAGGAGGGGTTTGGGATATTGGCAGTTTGGAGGGATATGTTGTGTATCTTTATACGTATATGCTTCTAAACTGTTGTATTCTGAGCACCTCTGCAAAAGCAGTGATAATGTGTGAGTGTGGTGAAAGTGTTGAATGATGATGAAAGTATTTTCTTTTGGGGATTTTCTTTCTTTTTTGGGTTGTGTGAGTGTGGTGAAAGTGTTGAATGATGATGAAAGTATTTTCTTTTTGGGGATTTTCTTTCTTTTTTGGGTCACCCTGCCTCGGTGGGAGACGGCCGACTTGTTGAAAAAAAAAAAACAAAAAAACATACGTACTAATTAATAATAATAATGAGTAATAATAATAATAATAATAATAATAATAATAATAATAATAATAATAATATCCTTGGACAGTTTTTATTGAAATGCCCTTCAGATGATAATGTGACAAGTGTGGAGAAAAAGCCAAAAATCATTGAATAGTAAAGTAGCATTAAAATAAAAATTGTAGCAGTTAAGTGCGTTGGAGCTTTGTAACAATGCTTGCATAACTCATTTCCAAAACATTCTGAAAAAGGACAAAACGAAATGAACTACTGACAGCATACACTGCTGTGCCCAGCATCTCTTCTCCATCTCCAAGGTAAATGCTGTATTACTACATAATTTCTTTACATTACGTATTATTATTATTATTATTATCATTGTTTTCCTTATGAAAATATGTACGTAGTGATCTAATGGAGTTTGCCTTACAAACACTCCATTTTCTGTTATAATAAAAGCATGGGAAGATACAGTGGAACCTCAGTTTACGAGCTTAATCCATTCTGTGACCTTATTTGTATCCTGATTTGTTCATATGCTGAGTCAATTTTCCTCATTTAAATTAACTGAAATGCAATTAATCTATTCAAGCCTCTCGGGAGGCATGACAAAATAACGCTAATACCAACTCTACCGCTTATTTATCACAATTCATCTAATATAACATAATAAGCAATATTAATAACATAGAAACATGATATATACTCTAGAATGAGTAAAATATGCCATAATACGGCGAGTGATGGCAACACCAGCAGCTGCAGAAAGCATCCGCCATTTACTCTCCCACTCTAGTATCTTCCTAGTCCATAACCCCACACCTAACTTGTGTTTATCTCCCCTCAAGGTAGGTTCCTTGATGCTGGTGAGGGGCTCTTGATCTAGGGAATTGGATCTGTGCTCCAGTTCCCTGAATTGAGCCTGAATACCTTCCACCCCCTCCCCCACATGCGCTGTATAATCCTACGGGTTCAGCGATCCCCCATGATGATAATAATTATAATAAAAGTGTGTATCTATGATTAGTGGTGAGGTTGTCACATATGTAACCACAGGTGTGGTCAAGACCGATGTAGTATATACGTATGGGTGAAGAGGCCATTACTGTGGCCACAATGGTGGTGGTGGTGGTTACAGCCAGCTGCCTCTCTCTCTGCTGCTGCCTTTGTTTCTCTAGCTTTTTACATAGTTTCTAATCACTTCTTGCTGATCATACACAAATACTGTCCCTTAGGGCGAGGCATTGTGTAAGAAATTTGTACAATATATGACAAAATTACGCATCCCAAGGGTCTGCTGCGGTCACTCAGAACAGCGCAATCTCTTCCTTTTGACCTTTGGTCGGCACTGAGATAGCCGTGGTCTAGCAGTATCTGCAAGCCACCCAGAGGGTTATCAATTTGTATTTTGAAGCATTTGGCACAAAAAATATGAAAAAATTATGAAAAATGTCTAAAAATGACAACATATTATTATTATTGTTATATTGTATTGCTATTATTATTGTTATAATTAATATTAATAATATTATTATTATTATTAATTTAGGGAACTGGAGCACAGATCCAATTCCCTAGATCAAGAGCCCTTTGCCATGTATGTACTAATAATAATAATAATTATTATAACAATAATAATAATAATACAATATAATAGCAATAATAATGATAGTGGCTTTCTTTGCTCTAATCATATTATGATATGTAAACACACATTGTAACCTTTGCAAAGAAATAAATGTTTTATTTATTTATTTAAGGACTCTCCCTTGAAGGGAAAGGACGCATCCTGAAATTTCATTCATATCCAGAAGCAAAAAGTCAACCGAACAATGGTTCGTATCCTGAAAAGTTTGCATGGTGGAGCATTCGTAAGCCGAGGTTCCACTGTATGTAGTCAGGAGCATGAATGGCCGCTGTGGTGACCCTATATACCCCAACAACAAGAATGGCCGCTGCTGCACTATCACTAGCCACATACGGAATGACATATTTCATTCATTCTAGTGTATATATCATGCTTCCATGTTATCAATATTGTTTATTGTGTCATATTAGATGAATTGTGATAGATAAATAAGCCGTAGAGTTGATATTAGGGAAATGTTGAAAGTATTTTGTCATGCCTGGAATTCCACTGGAACGGATTAATTCCATTTCAGTTAATTTAAATGAGAAAAATTGACCCAACAAACAAACAAATTGAGATACAAGCAAGGTCACAGAATGGATTATATGTGTGAGTAGAAGTTCCACTGTATAAGTCTCACTTAAAGATCACGAATAACAGTTCTGTAAATTGATTTTTAACTCTGTCAGCATTAACCCTTACACTGTCCAGACCCCAAAATTAACCTTTAAACTGAGGTTTACCCCCAAATAAAAATTCCTGTGTGTATGTGTGAGAAGGTTTTGAAAAATAAAAAAAATTTCTCTTACAGAATGAGAGTGCATTTTTGCTCAGATAAAAAATCCAAATAAAAATGTTTATTTCCTTGCAAAGCTTACAATGTGTGGTTTACATGTTATAAAATATTAATTACAAGAAAGCCACTAGCATGTCTAGGCATTTTGGGCATTTTATGGTTTGTTTACCTGGAGAGAGTTTCGGGGGTCAACGCCCCCGCGGCCCGGTCTGTGACCAGGCCTCCTGGTGGATCAGCGCCTGATCAACCAGGCTGTTGCTGCTGGCTGCACGCAAACCAACGTACGAGCCACAGCCCGGCTGATCAGGAACTGACTTTAGGTGCTTGTCCAGTGCCAGCTTGAAGACTGCCAGGGGTCTGTTGGTAATCCCCCTTATGTGTGCTGGGAGGCAGTTGAACAGTCTCGGGCCCCTGACACTTATTGTATGGTCTCTTAACGTGCTAGTGACACCCCTGCTTTTCATTGGGGGGATGGTGCATCGTCTGCCAAGTCTTTTGCTTTCGTAAGTGAGTGATTTTCGTGTGCAAGTTCGGTACTAGTCCCTCTAGGATTTTCCAGGTGTATATAATCATGTATCTCTCCCTCTGCATTCCAGGGAATACAGGTTTAGAAACCTCAAGCGCTCCAGTAATTGAGGTGTTTTATCTCCGTTATGCGCGCCGTGAAAGTTCTCTGTACATTTTCTAGGTCGGCAATTTCACCTGCCTTGAAAGGTGCTGTTAGAGTGCAGCAATATTCCAGCCTAGATAGAACAAGTGACCTGAAGAGTGTCATCATGGGCTTGGCCTCCCTAGTTTTGAAGGTTCTCATTATCCATCCTGTCATTTTTCTAGCAGCTGCGATTGATACATGTTATGGTCCTTGAAGGTGAGATCCTCCGACATAAT